TTGTCAGATATGTGTGCAGACTGCATTTAAAATGAAACATAAAAAATACAAGCAATAAAGATTTTACTGAGCACAAAACTGCATCTTATTAATATTTGTCTCTGCATGGCCAAGAAAGTTGTAAAAAAAGTTTATGAAACTTTCTACATATTCAACATATTGGCCTGTAAACAAGTTTTTTTACGATTATTTGATAAAAGAAAATGATTGCCGATGGAATAGGCTAAAATATTTCCCCTTTTCTTAGATGGATATTGCTTTGTTACAGGGATGGCTAATAATATTTTTTTGGCAGGGAGGGAATTTAAATATGGCGAAAATTTTTAAAATAAACAACACATTACGATTTTATACTTAAAATGTTAAACAGTTTTTAAAACAGTTTCTAATATCAACAATTTAACCTTTATTTGATCAATGATTGCATATCGCAATCGCGACGTTTCTATTTGGATAAAACAAATTTTGACTAAGTACAGAATCACGAGTGCACTGTCTGTATAGAAATTTACAATTCGTTTATAAATATAAAAATTTGAAGAATTAAACATTTTCATTCAGTTTTGTATCTTTTTAAACCTCTATATAAACATTTTTGTGCGTGTTTGGATTAGAAGTCAACCATCATAATTAACCTCATTGTGTCCGGCCTTTGCAGAAGTTTTAATTTTCACTTTATTTGACTTCACTGTATAATGTTCAGTGTATTTATAAAGCTTTTGATTTATTTTCAGGAAAATTAACAAATATTTCAAAAAATATAACTGCATACAACGGTCGGATTTAAATAATTTCTACAGAGATCACTTACGTTTGCTCATCTCGACGACACTGTCGACGCTGATGGTTGTGTTGTCGCTATCCGTGCTCGACAAGGTTGGAGAGACAGATGTCGACCTGAGCCTGGATTCAGGTGACCGGTCTCTAGTTCCTGAGGGTGACCTGGAGGACAGGTTGACCGGACAGGCGACTGCTACAACCATTTTTATCAATCACATAATCTGCATTAACATATTAGAAACTACTTGAGATTTTTTTTACGCAGAAAATAGTAGACTTTACATGAAGAATTAAATAAAATGAAGCCGAACCAGATTTTAACACGCAGAATTAGAGTTAACACGCAGAGTCAAACTAAACACGCAGAATCAGAGTAGGAATCATACAAATTTTCAGACCCAGAGTAAACACACAGAATCAGAGTAAACACACAGAATCAGAGTAAACACACAGAATCAGAGTAAACCCACAGAATCAGAGTAAACACACAGAACCAGAGTAAACACACAGAATCAGAATAAACACACAAAACCAAAGTAAGCACGCAGAATCAGAATAAACAAGCAGAACCATAAAACCACACACAGAGTAAACACGCAGACTCAGAATAAACAAGCAGAACCCTAATATCACACAGAACCAGAGTAAACACACAGAACCAGTGTTAACACGCAGAATCAGATTAAAGAAGCAGAATCAGATTACACACAGAGAACCAGTGTAAAAACGCAGAAGAATAAAAAAACACAGAATCAGAGTAAACACGCAGAATAAAGAGTAAACACGCAGAATAAGAGTAAACACGCAGAACCAGAGTAAACACCCAGAACCAGAGTAAACAAGCAGAATCAGAATAACAGACAGAATTAGATTAAACAAGCAGAATCAGCGTAAACACGCAGAATCAGATTAAACACGCAGAATCAGAGTAAACACGCAGAGCCAGTGTAAACACACAGAATCAGTGTAAAAACGAAGAATAAGAATCAGAGTAAACACACAGAACCAGTGTAAACACGCACAATCAGATTAAAGAAGCAGTATCAGAGTAAACACACAGAACCAGTGTTGACACGCAGAATCAGATTAAACACGCATAACCAGAGTAAAAATGCAGAACCAGAGTAATCATGCAGAACCAGAATAAAAACGTAGGACCAGAGTAAACACGCAGAATAAGAGTAAACACGCAGAACCAGTGTAAACACGCCCACTTAGATTGAACATGCAGAACCAGAGTAAACACGCAGAATAAGAGTAAACACGCAGAACCAGTGTTAACATGAACACTCAGCTTAAACATGCAGAACCAGATTAAACAAGCAGAATCAGAGTAAACACGCAGAATCAGAGTAAACACGCAGAACCAGAGTAAACCCTCAGATTAAAGAGTAAACACACAGACTCAAAGAAAACACGAAAAAGCTGAATAAAAAGGAACCACGGTAAGCATGAAGAATAAGAGTGTACACACAGAACCAGATTAAACATGCAGAACCAGAGTAAACAGGAGGAACTAGAACCAGAGTAAACATGAAGAATAAGAGTTAACTAGCAGAATAAGAGTGAACTGGTAGAACCAGAGTAAATACCTAAAACCAGTATAAACACGTAAAGTAAGAGTAAGCACACAGAACCTGAGAAAACACATAGAATCAGAGTAAACACGTAGAATCAGAGTAAACACGCAGAACCAGAGTGAACACACAGAATCAGAGTAAACACGTAGAATCAGAGTAAACACGCAGAACCAGAGTAAACACGTAGAATGAGAGTAAACACGTAGAATCAGAGTAAACACGTAGAATGAGAGTAAACACGTTGACTCAGAGTAAACACGCAGAAACAGAGTAAAAACGAAAATTCAAAAAAGCCTTAGCGTATTAGCTTTTAGACGTGGTTAGCTAAAACGTGTATAGTTGAGAAAGCATTATATGCTATATTTTTCAAATAGGTTTTGATTTCACAAATTTTATGAATTCAATTTGTCTTAAATTTCATTTTTGAATAAACTCTAACGAGTTCAAGCTTTAAAAAGATTAAAATGTAATTTCTATGGAGAGGGGGGGGGGGTTTCCCCCATAACCCCTTCGACTTTATTTAAATCTAAATGATTTATATGATTTATATATTCATTGTTTCAAGAATAATTGTTTGTGGTTTTCCGAATGGTTTCGGGGATCTTTCCACGCCAAAGGTTGGAGAAGGACTGAACCAGACACTCAGGCTCAACCTCAGATATCCGTCGGGCATTGGGCAATACAGGGCTCATCACAAACAACCCCCAGCATCCTACACTGGAGAGTCTCACACGCATTCACAAAATTACACGAACATCCAAAATTGTTGATTTTTTTTGCGAATTATTTAGAGCCAAGAATTTATAGATGATAGTGACTAAATTTAAATTAAGAAAATAACCAGTAGAAAACCAGTCAAGGAAACAAATGCCAAATGTTTATCAAAACACATTCATTACTGATGATGTTTACTATTTTCACTACAATAATAATAATAATTTGGTTTGGTCTATTTTCACATAAAAGTTTGCTCAAGACTGAGCACAAAAGTCAACAATTTAAAAAACGGTTTGAAAGGTACCAATTCCTTTGAAATAGCTTTATGAAACCTGGAAATGAAAAAAACTAAGAGAACCTGGATAAAATAGATCAAGAAAAGACATGGGATGTAGATGAAGATGTAATGTCGAGAGAAACTCGTTTTCCGTAATCATGGGACACTGGTTGACAAATTTCAACTATTCAGGACGTCAACTTTTTGCGGTGTCAGATTAAGTTTCTGTTTTTTGTCGCATTCTCGGCATAGTTCCATCCTGTTTATATCTGGGTGGTAGATTTCATCTACAGTTTCTCTAGTCTTACCAGTCTTTAACTGTTATAGACTTGCTAGTTAGTTCTAGTCTTACCAGTTCTAGTCTTACCAGTTCTTATCTTACCAGTTCTAGTCTTACCAGTTCTAATCTTACCAGTTCCAATCTTACCAGTTCTAATCTTACCAGTTCTAATTATACCAGTTCTAATCTTACGAGTTCATATCATACCAGTTCTAATCCTACCAGTTCTAATCTTACCAGTTTTAATCTAACGAGTTCTTATCATACCAGTTCTAATCCTACCAGTTATAATATACTGCTTCGTTTTTCCGTATTCCAGACATATATATGTATTCTACCAGCTTGAGAACCCAGCTTTGACTGGTTCAAAGTTTTCGCTATAAAAGTCCACCAACTCAATTTCAAATATTTTTAAACCAGAACAAGTAAATTATCTTTTTTTTTACCGACATCACCAATTAAAATTTGAGGCAAATCGGTCTAGGGGTTCATGAGTTATATGAGGAATACAAACAAACAGATATTTACTTTATTTATATAGATTGGTAGTTGGTACTTAACATTCGTTCCTGAAAATTATTTAAATACATTTACTAACTTATTTATATCCTTCACAGATTTTAAGACTAAACATATATTCGACTTTACGAACAGACAGTACACTATTTGATGTTATAATCTATGTTGTTCTTGCATTCATACATTTAACAATCCTATCCCCGACCCCACCCCATATATGGATTAGTTAAATATTTTTAGGACGGAATGAATAATTGAGGAATGTTTAACGCCATTTATTACTGCAAGGGGATGAAGGACATAGGCTGGAATGAATCAGGATGAAAGAATGAATTATTTATGCTAGTTTTCAATAGATATTTATATCTTTACATTTATCAACTTCAGGTTAAAATCTAACACTAACTATAGTTCGTTATCTTTAACCTAGCTCCGAAATAGTTTTAAAGAATTATGCTTTTTTGAAGGAACTGAGTTTTTGCAACCAACTCTGATTTTCTAATCTCCATATCTTTGCAATCCAACGTACACCTTTGATTTTTTTTAAACTAAGAAAATTGTAAAATCAAATAATCCAAGTTTGATTTATCAAAAGTTTACATTATTAGGTTGCAAAGATGTAGGAATTAAGTTTGTGGCAAAAACTTAGTTCTTTTGATTTGTAGAAAAGATATAAGCTGAAAGTTCTAAGTCATGGATATTCTCAATTTATTAAAATTTCCTTTGTATTTGTAAACCAAGTGTTGTTTAATCATATTCTGAATAATCTTGAGCTCTCATCCCTACACTTCATACAAGACAGTCATGTAGAAACTCATCTTGTATAAACCCTAATCCTCTACACCTTTTTATACTCTACACTTAAATCCTGAATAAGCAAGAAATCTACGAAAAAATTTCAAAAAATCTACAAAGTTTAAAATGGATATTCTATACGATGTTCACAATTTGTTCAATGAGAAAATTCCAAGGTTAGATAGAGGGATTCTACCTTTCGGCTTATTCATTGTTTGGACTTTAGGTAAAGAAAAAGAAATATAGAGATTTTTTTATAGCAAGAGTGCACCTTGAATATGATTAAATTTGCAAATATGGTTTTTCATTCTTAAAATGTAGAACGATTTCCCTTTTCTTAAATTAATTTTTCCCCATTTACTATGTATGGTATAAGAAACTTGTAATTTTCACGTCATGCTTTAATGCTCAAATTTATAATTTTTACCATTCCTCTCTTTCCAAAACCAGGGTTTCCACCCACACTGTAAAATGTCATGAATGTCCATATTTTATGCATTTGTAACGAAAAACCGTAAACTTATGCACACCTTTAAGGATTATTGGAACCCTACCTTGTTAAATCTGGTATTTTAAACCAGTAAAACAATATGCAGTTTTCCTATCAACGCGTTGTTTCATTTCTCAAACATAATTCTAAACATTTCTGATTCATTTCTGATTTTAGTTATAGGAACAAGATTTGCCTCAGAGGTTTATCAGACCTGGAGAGGGTTTGCTTGGGTGAAGGAATGGAGGATGAATATCTCTGGAAAGCTAAAAAAATAGAGAATCAGAGAGTAGCTGTGCGATGATAATAATAACTGATGTATATATCAATAATCAAAGCCCGTTGTTTCATAAATATCTTAAATATTTTGACATTAGTTTTTACTTTTGAACTTAGGAATTTAGTTTTTTTCCACAAACTCTGATTTTCAAATCCCTAACTTTGCAGCCTTTGATATTTTAAACCATGAATTTAGTCAGAACAAACAGTCTCAGTTTGAAATATCTAAGGTTTGCACCACTAGGTGGCAAAGATATTAGGGTTGGAAAATTCGAGTTTGTAGCAAAAACTCAATTCCTTTAAAAATGTACAAAAATGTCACAATCTGAAGATTTTAATTTGGAACACAAATCTTAAGAATTCTATAAATTAAGAGGTTTTTTTTCAATTTTAATATTTAGTGCTCCGCAGGCATTAAGAACGACATGTTTTACATTGAGTAGTCTAAAGTTTTGAAGTTACTCAAGGATACAGAAAGTTAGGATGGAATGTGTTTGAGCATGAGTTGATGTGAAAATGAAGGAATATAGATCACGATATGAACCTAAACCTATCTACGACACAGCATTTTATCCCTCAGATAAAGGGGTTGGAGAGGTTACTAGGTTCAGGATCTGCTTACATATCTCCCCTCACAACCCTTTCAATCCTTCTGCTACTTCTCCTCAATTCTCACATTACTCCCTCCAAATCCCAACTCCCTCCACCACCCCTTCCTATAAGTCCTTCTACATTTTTTTTTTAAATTGATATTCTACCCATTAACCCTTTATCAGCAGATTTTTAAATTGTCCCATGACATATTCAACAAAGTGCTATGTCTAATTTTAACCTGAAGTTTTTGTTCAGATCCTGCAAAAATGTAATTTTGTTGCTGTTTATTTGATTGGTTTGTTTATATTTTCAGTTTTTGTTTTACAAACTTGTAAAGGTTGAATATAAAGAGATGTTTGTTTGTTTAAACTCAGGCAGTAAACTCTTTTCACCAGCCGTTGCATTTTGAATATAAAAACATCACGAGCAAGTTATTTAATGAGACAATCCACGAAACCCATAAATAACTAGCAAATATGCAGGTTCAAACACCTCATGAAATAGAAGTAATTAAAGGGGGAAAGTTTAGGGATCATAATATTTCAACTTTTAACTTTTCTGTAAGAGAAACTTTCTCTCAAGACCTGGTTCTCTTGTGCAAATGACAGGCTTCGGAGATTATGCAGGCTTAGAAATAATATTTTAAAATCTTTACTGCTAAAATGCACAACATGTTGAAAGGAATAACTCTATGAAGGTATAAAGTATATTAAAGTCTATCAAACTGTAAAGCTGAAGAACCTCACATAGAGCTTCAAACCTGAAGAACCGTACAACCATATAACTTTAAAAATCCAGAGCAAAAGAGTCATTGAAACCTTTTGTAGAGTTTCAGAGGCTTCTTAGAGAGAACATTAGCACTGTAAAACCTTATCAAATATCAATACAGAAGCTTAGAATCGGGAAAATGTATGTAGTTCAAGTCTGGACAGAAAAGCGTACATAATCTGAGGATTGCAATGCCGTTGTAAAACAGAATTTGATTTATATCTGATGAATATACTATTAGACACCATCAATAAAAATAACAATAAATTGGATGCAAAACTTTAATGCATATTTTATCAGTCTAAGTGTTGGAACACGCTACGTGTCTTGTGCTTCATCTATTATACTACCCGAGTGCATACATTTGTGCACTGGAAGAATATGATTAATAAAATAGTATACATATTGACCTCCTACAAGTGAACCTTTTGCTCTTTAAAGTTTCACTCTTTTATCAATAATACCTACTGCCAGGGGATATGTATTTAGGTATACTCGTACCACGGTATCCTGCATCACTTGATCTCCCTGATACAGTTCATCTCAAGTTTTAGACATTCCAGCACAATGTTAAACATAAAGATTAAAGTTAAAAAACTAAAAATTATTAGTTAACATAAATAAATGTAGTACTGAAATTGCATGCTGAAAATGATCTGCCAAAATAAATATTCAGTCTCAAATGTCGTCTTTCAAATTATCAAAATATCAAAAACTTATTTAAGAAGAGAGGCGCAACTAGGGGGGGGGACCCCCCCTAGCAAAAGTCCTAGTTGCGCCTCTGAAGAATCAAGACAAAGATCATTTTTAATGTGTTTTCGAATCTAAATACATTTATAAACATCTAAAGTGTCAAAACATTGCGAATTGATGTCTAAGATGGCATTGAAATCATTATGGGGAGAGTGTGTACAATTAAATGATCCTTGGCAACGTAATCTGATCTCCTATAGTATACGGTTATTTATTCCTTCTGTTGGAAAATCCATTTATATGTAAAACCCTGCCTACTGCAAATCAAGTTAAGAAATCAGGGAGTTTAAAAATTATAAGATCAAAGTTTAGTTTTATAAAGAATAAAATATATTAATAGGCAGTTTTTTAATGAGACAACGGTTTAGGATTAAAACAGAAAGTAATAATTTAGGACTTTTTGATAAGTAATAATAAAATAAAAAGGTCTATTTTAAGAAATAATACCGAGTATCAAGTTCTTTAAAGGTCTTAAAAAAATATGTCATATATATTTGAAGTTTTAGAATTAGAATAGTAGTAAACTCAAGGTTTATAATCAAAGAGAAGAGTAAAAATCAAGATTTATGATTATGAAAAATATTAGGATTAAAAAGAAAAGTAGAGAACAGTATTAAGGTTTAAGAGAAAGAAGAATCAACCTTTGGTATGNGGGGAAATGTATGACGCCAGGATTTAGGAGAAAGAAATTAAAAATCAAGGTTGTATCTAGAACTACAAAGATCAAGGTGTTTAAATTAATTAGTTATGGTTTAAGGTCGGGTTGGGTGTGGTGTCTGAACACTAATCTGGAGAAATTGGTTTATGCATATCATACAGAGCTACCGCCCTTTTCTAGAACAAGAGTATACACTTCTTTGAAATGAGAATAGACGCACACTTTATATTACATATTCGTTTATTTTTATACAATTAATTTTCTCTTTAACCTTCTATCTCACTCTAGTATGCCGAGTCCATTAGCGCCTGATCCAATCAGGGTTCAGTCATGTGTTTGTTGTCTATTCTGAACCAATAGAAATTGCATGGCGGTAACATAAATTGTTCTATCTAGCTCATTATCCAGTTACAGATAAATCCTTATATCGGCGCTATAAAATTAAATGGAAATATTTACTTCAACTGAAACTATAGTGATCTGCAAGATGATCAATCATGAAGCAATTACACCGATCTAAGCGTGGCATGATCCGAGCCGGTACAACATGTACTATATATGCATTCAGTCGGACTGTCCAGTCTGACTATCCAGTGCAGAGTCGACCCAGTGTAGAGTTGACCCTGCACGTTTTAGTACATATGTTCATTGGCAAGATTTCAGTGCTTTTACATACCTGAAATAGGAAAAAATAGATTAAGGCAAGTTTGTATATGTTAGGGTAGGATTATTTACGTTTAGAGTAAGAAGGTACCAACTTTATTCTTAACCATGAGTATCTCATATATATCGTACATCTAAAAGAACTATTTTTTTGTCACAAACTCAAGTTTTCTAATATCTTTGCAACATGATGGTCTAAACCTTTGATATTTCAAAACTCATAGTTCGAAATATCTAAGGTCTACAACATCAGGTTGCAAAGATATAGGGGTTTGAAAATCAGAGCTTTTGACAAAAATACAGTTCCTTTTCATCATTTGTTTTAGTTCTATATATTCGTACAATGTAAATGCAATTTTTATATGAATGGAATAAATCTAACCCAATCATTAAGTTAAAACTGATCAAAGGAATTGAGTTTTTGCCACAAACTAAAATCTTCTGATTCCAATATCTTTGCAATCTTTTGATGCAAACCTTTGATATTTCAAACTTAGATTATTTTATCTATAAGTATTAATAGTTTGAAATATCTAAGGTCTACGACATTGGGTTACAAAAATATAGAGATTAGAAAATCAGACTTTGTGGCAAAAACTCAACTCCTTTGAGTAATTTATAATATTTTCTGTCATATTTGGAAAAAGTTTCGAATTTTAAAAAATTTGTTTCGATCCTTGACTGATATTTAAAGAATCCAGCTGATTTAAATCTCTGATTACTGCTACGGATATATAACGTCATCTACCAAGGTTCACGATCTAGCAATTTATAAACATCCAGGGTTGATCTACTCCATACATCCAACAATATCATTCATCAGAGAAATCATCCACCGGATTCTGAATAAACACTTTTAGGTGCAGTGGTCGTCATTTATATCAATACAAAAAAGACGACTTTTCTATTCAAATTTTGATCTCTAACAATTTTTTTTTCAAATTACAAGTTTACAAGCAAACAAAGTGAAGCGGTTAATAGACAGCTTCTCTTTGTTTTCATGTTTAGGTGACATATCAATGCAGTTTGAAAGCATGGTACAAATAAAAATTAAAATCGACAGTCGTCTTCATTGTATAGATTTAGACTAAGAAGACTGTAGATAAATGCAACACAGTAATGCCTAATTAGTTTTCATTTAAATAAAGGGTTAAAAGATATATTTGTGCAGAAGAAAAATTATGATCCGCTCATCTTACCACTAACCATTCGAGATGCGTGCCATAAATGTTATTCAGTGGCACGGTTTTAATTCTGAACGGACTTATCAGGTCTAAAGCAGAAAATTTTTTTTATCCATTTTATGAAGTATATACCATACCATGTGAACTAGACAGAAGGAGAAAGTCAAACATATGCAACATTTCTGGTCCGACTAGCTTTGAGACCTAGTAGCGCCTCCAGTTTTGATTTAATGCAACAGTAGGAAAGTTTTTCTAAGAAGCTCTTCAATTTGAGGTGTTAATGTTATGATTGAAAACATTTCAATTTTCCGTACATTTTACTCTTTAGTTTGACTTGACCAGACAAATAAAAAACAAACCCAGACAAAGTAATGTAAATGTATAGATATTAGATATTTAAAACACGCATTATTTTCCTAATGAATATTCATGAATTAGTTCTAACCAAATATGAAAAAGTTTAATGGTAG